TTTGTGGTCGTTGGCGTTGTTTTTAATTTTTGTAAGCTTATTCATTTTTTTGAGAGTGAGCGAGCGGGGGAGGGGCAGAGAGAGAGGGAGAGAGAGAATTCCAAGCAGGCTTCACGCTGTCAGCACAGAGCCCGATGCAGGGCTCGAACTCACGAACCGTGAGATCGTGATGAGCTGAAACCAAGAGTCAGGCAGTTAACCGACTGAGCCACCCTGGCGCCCCATGGAAGTGTTTTTGATGAGCCGATCAAGGGGTGCCTGGGTGACTCAGTTGGTTAAGCGTCTGACTCTTGATTTTGGCTCAGGTCATGATCTCACGATTCTCAGTATTCCTGAGTTCCAGCCCCACATTGGGCTGTGTACTGTGGGTGCAGAGCCTGCTTGGGATTCTCTCTCTCCCTCTCTCTGTCCCTCCCCCACTTGTGCTCTCTTTCTCAAAATAAATAAACTTAAAAAAAAAAAAAAGAGCCGATCAAAACTTGGGAGCAAGGAGAGGCAGACAGAAAATCAGGACGGTGGGACGGCCTGGGCGGCTCAGTTGGTTTAAGCACCAACTTTGGCTCAGGTCACGATCCTGTAGTTGCTGAGTTCAAGCCCCATGCCCGGCTCTGTGCCTGTCCTGCTTGGGATTCTTGATGTCTCCTCTCTCTGCCCTCCTGCCACTCGCGCTTTCTCTCTCTCCCAAAATAAATAAACACACTTTAAAAAAAAACAAACCAAAAAGAAAATCAGGACGGTGGCAGAAAGCCAGAGAGGACGGAAGTACGGAGCTGTCAAGGGAACGCCAAGAATGCCTGGCTTACAAACTGTCCCGACGTAAACGCTCTGCTTCTGAAAAGCCACCACGCCGAGGCAGCCGCATCCCCACCGAACAATAACGTGCTGTGGCGCTCACCTGAGGAGGATAGAAATAACAAATGCCAGCCCTCGTCGGATCGCCTTCTTCCTTCACCTTTGAACCATCATAAAGGAAAAAATAATTCCACCTGGCAAGAGAACAGAATGGAGCCATGTTTCCTTTCATCTGGCGATCGAGGCACTTTAAAACACCGCTTCCTATGCCCCAGCGCGAGAAGGGCTCATTACTCAGGATTTGAAGAGCCTTCTGGTGGCCCCAGAGAAGAAAAACACCCAGTGGCTACAAATAGATAACAAACCACTTCGAAAGTGCTGTCGAGTCCAACTAAAAATATGCCTCTATCCCGTCGTCAGACCGTCTGGCCCAAAGGACCAAAGTGTATCTGGGGGAGAGACAGAGCGCCCAGGGACATCTCTTGTTTGAGACACTGACCCTTAACCATACCACCACGTGGTTTGGAACACTGTCATTTAAGGCTCTGATAACCAAATTAGCTGGGGACGTCTTAGCCACACGCCCTGCAACTGCTGGGCACCACAGTCTCTGGAAATATCCCTTTGACCAGAAATCCACGCGTTCATTTAACAAACAATGAGGGCGACAGTGTGCTCTCCCCTTTGCCAACCCTGGGGCCATGGCGCTAATAGAGAGACTGTAAACGTTTCATTTCAACGCAGGACAGTGAGTCTATAACAGGAAAAATGGGGCTTATGAGAGCTCACAGAGGAGCCCCAAATCCCTCTCTGCCCTCACAGTGTGTTAACTCCAACACGACCTGTCATCAAACTTCTGATTTCCTTCCAGAACCCTCTGTTCTTTGCTAAGGACTCTTCTAGTCTACTCTGCAGTATAATTACCTCTTTAAGACCACAAAGCAGACCCCTCCAAAGGCTGAACCTGGGTTTTACCTCTCCAAAAGCACACCCATCAGGCTAGAGCATAAGGAGGAACTGTGACCACTCTTTTGACACCTGCGCTCTTCTCCCTGGATCTACACCCTCCCCCTACCACCCTCCCTGGCTCCTAGCTTCTCTTCCTGATGACAAGGCTAACTCTTGTTTCCAGCCGCAGTCTGCTTCCTGAGTTGTAGGACCAGATGTGGAACCACCTGCAGGGCAAGCCCAGATCAAAAAGCCTCAAAAACGTGTCAAACCCAATTCAGAAATCCCACTGCCGGGCCCCACTGACCCTCTCCTTACGTCGTCGGGGCAAAAGCACCCTCACGCTTTCTGGCATGCAAAAGACACCCTGGGCGTCATAATGGATGGCTCCCTCTTTGTGCCTTCCACACACATAACTGGTCACTGAATCCTGCTCCTAGTTAAACCAGCCCTTTTGTTTGCATTGTTCAATGAAACGTTTGCTGAGCCAAATTGGGAGAGAGGCTTAACCCGTATGGGGCTGAGAAGGGAACAGAGTTTCAAGCAGACGTTGTGTAATAGCCTTCAAGAGGCAGACGGGCCAGACCTCTTCTTATGGTGTAATTCTGCACTGTAACCGTTTCTTGTCTCTTACAAATGAAGATTACAATGCCCACGGTCTCATCGAAGCTGACTGCGTGACCCGGCCGTGGCCGGCTTTTCTGCAGTCAACCAGTAATGCTCGACTCGCTCGAACACTGCAAGGTTTGAGCTCTGGAGAGAGACCATCGGCTCACATGCCTGACTGGGCCGCTCTGAGAAAAATGCCTTCTTTCCCCGCCCCCCCCCCCCACCCTTAGTGAAAGCAAGACGGTCTGGCTGGGGATTTTCAGTTCATCCAAGGCATCGGTCCAGCAGCTGGGCAGGAGGCAAGCCACACAGGCCTTGCTACTCACCAGGAGGCTGACGTCGGCTCCGTCAAGGTAGAAGTGGCCATTTACTTGCCAGTGGCCCTCATTCTACTTATTTGGGTTGTCTTGTCCAGTATTGCTCTTTGCGCCCCAGCAGTAAATCCAGACGTGAGAGATTTAAGTGTTTTCAGCCACAACTGTCACCTGCTTGGTTTTCACGCAGCATGAAAGTGCTACTTCCTTCCTCGCAGGCTCTTCGGTGCCATGAATACCTCCATGCCTCTTAGAACTCTGGGAGAGAATCTAATAAAGGGAGAGAAATCTACCAGAAAAGTCAAATCCTCTAAGCTGGTTCCATGAGGATCAGCATTCTGGCTCCCTGCAGAATGGACTCTTCAAAAAGCTCCTGGCCAGGAAAGCCCAAGGGGGGAGATGCATGCTGAAGGCGGTGTTCCGAAGCGATTTTCTAGTTTGTCTGATTCAAAGCCATTTGGAAGATTCTTTTAAACATTGTGAAGCTGCCTGTTCAAACATCAGTGCCTTGGTCCTAAAATAAACACAAGGAATAGATTATTTCAGAAACCCATGAGACAGCATGTGACCCAGCAGGGTTAGGCAAACGGTATACTTCAAAGAGTCTTCTAGAAAGTTGAAAATTGTGTTTCAGAACAAAAAAAGAGAGTGGGGCAGGCCTTCAGAGTAAGTTCTTCAGTTTTTTTTGAACAGTTCTGCCACACAGAAGACAAAACTACACAAGTAGTGTGAAATAGCTTTGTATGCCAGGGACAGCTATACAAATAAGGTGGTTGTTGCAGTAATCACGGAACTCAAATTAAGGAACTGTCACCTTGACAGCTCAAAAGTAATCTGAACGTTAAATCCAGAGCTGGGCAAGTTTTTCAAAACAAAAAAGAGTTTAACAAGTGGCTCTCAAACTCCAAGAGAACAGGCAACAGAGCACCATGGAATTTCAGAATCAGAAGGGACCCCGGCATCATTTACCCTGAGGCTTCTCTCTCGTACTGTCAAAAATTAGCTGGTCCCTGGCCTACTCCCTCCAGAGACACAGGCAGCTCATAGTGTTAACTTTATCCTGCCACCAAACTAAGACTGGCCTCCCAGGAACCTCCCAACGCCGGTCTGGATAACACACCAGGAAAACAAAACAGGGTCTCTAATTCTTCCTCAAGAATTAGAGTGGTTCCGGGGCGCCTGGGTGGCGCAGTCGGTTAAGCGTCCGACTTCAGCCAGGTCACGATCTCGCGGTCCGGGAGTTCGAGCCCCGCGTCAGGCTCTGGGCTGATGGCTCGGAGCCTGGAGCCTGTTTCCGATTCTGTGTCTCCCTCTCTCTCTGCCCCTCCCCCGTTCATGCTCTGTCTCTTTCTGTCCCAAAAATAAATAAAAAACATTGAAAAAAAAAAAAAAAAGAATTAGAGTGGTCCCTTCAGAACTCTATTTCTATTGTCACTTTGTCCAAGCTGGATGTCTCAGCCACAGGGTTTCAACTGCTTGCTCACCATCTGTCATCCCCCTGAGAATACTGTAGTTTCCTAAGGCTCTTTTCTTAGAAGTACCTAGAGAGGACCCCACTGACTCGCTGAGGCCTGTGAAATCTCTTATCTTTCCTCAGCTTTAGGCATCTTGAGGTAGGCCTCCACAGGCCATACTCATGGTGTTCTCTGAAGCATTATCTGGGGCATGTCAGCTCTTGGAATCCAGGACAGCAGCCTGAGACCCCCATTCCTCGTTTCCCTAGGACCGAGCCCCACGCTGCCAAGGTCCGCCCTCCTATCTCTAAAAGGTCCAGGGGAGGCCGCTAATGTCCCCGGGGTAGGGCAGGTGTTGGGATGCGACCAGAGAAGGCTCCAGCAGCCTGGGAAGTCGCAGCAACCACCCGGAGGAGCCAAGAAGTGGAGGCAGGAAGGTGTGGTGTAGGAAGTGGCCTCAGTGAGTCAGCGGGCCAGGAAAAGGGGCGCTAACGACTGCCATCAGGAACGGGTTAAGGGCACTGAGCGGTGTCTGGCCTCAGCTCCAGGGGGCCGGGAATCGGTGGGCAAAGGCGAGGGGGGAGGTCAAGTGGGGCCGATTGCCGCGCGGAGAGGCCGCCAAGAGGCGCTCTCGGCCGGGGTCCAGCCCCTCGGTGTCCCTGCACCGCCCACCCGCCGGCATAGTCGGGCAGCCCGGGGTTTCAGGGCTCGGGCCCCGCAGGGTGGGCAGCAGCGGGGCGCCAGCGACTCCCGCCCGGTACCTACTCGCGCGGCGGACAGGCCCGAGGATCACGCGCCGCCAGCGCCTGCCTCCCCCTACGATTCCCGGAGAGCTGGCGCGCGGTGATGACGTCAGGCGGCGCGCCGCTGACGTCAGAGGGCCATGGCGGCGGCGGCGTTGGAGCCCTGGCAGGCTGCGGCCCCGCGCAGGAAAAGGCGCTCGGCGGCGCGGCGTCCGCGAGGGAGGGAGGCGGCGGCGGGGGGCCTGGAGGCCGAACCAGAGACGGACGGCCGAGTCGTGCTTCGTCGCATCCGGGAGGCCCGGTGAGTGCGGAGTTGGCCCTGAGACCGAGTCTTCATCCTTGGGAGGACCGCTCCGAGCCTCCGTCTCGCCACCTGTAAAGTGGGCATATCTGCAAACCCTTAGGGTTATTGTGAGGGTTTTACGCAGGTGAGGAGCTTATTACAGACTGAATCGGAGTAAAAGGTCATTCCTCTTGTTGCACTTCCAGCTGCGCGACCTTCGGCAAGTTCCATAATCTCTGTGCCTCAGTTTTCTCATCTGAGAGATGGCCCTGAAAATAGTACCCGTATAGGCTTGTTTTGAGGATTCAGTGAATTAGTAAATGTATGTAAGTGTAAACCACGGTGCCTGGAGCGGGGTAAGTGCAGAAACAGTGTTTGGTATTAATATCATACGAGTGTTGGTTATTGTTATTGCTGACGCCGGGGAAGCAACACGAACGTGATTGACATCTTCATGGTGATCATCATTAGTTAATTGAGGAGCTGCTGTGTTCCTGCCACTGGCTTATGCATTCTACTTAGTACATCTTTATCAATTTGAACATCTCAGACAGCTAGGATCCTGTCAGGGCTCAGAGTCTTAGAGACACCGGTAATGTATGGAACCAGATTTCAAACCCATAGCTTTGCAGCTCCAACACCTGTGCTTCAAAGTTCTCCATTATTCGGGTTTAGCCTAGACCCTCATCCCTCCATGCTTTGCTCTGCACCTTGCAGTTTAGAACAGTACCTAACAGAGGAAGCACTTTGATAAATGTTACCTATTTTTGTTACTTATTTTTGTTGCCATTATTTATTTGCACTCCTTTAAGGGCCCAGTAAATAACAGCTTTTGTTAGTGCTTCAGATCAACAACTGGGGGAAATTAAGACTAATTTTATATGCTCCTCTCCCCCAGAATTAAGGTCAAGAGACAGTTGATGACTCTGAGGTTACCACTGAATAGAAAGGAGTTGGCTGACCAGTTGATTGAGCCTGAGTAAACAAACAGCAGCAACTTTTTCTAGGATCTTGGAAGACGTCTCTGAGAAGGAGTGTGCCCAGGGATTTGGAAAACCCTTAAGGCACTTTCCCTACACCTTGCATTGTTATTCTTCCTCAACTTCTCCAGTATCCCCCCCTCCCTTCCTGGGAGCTCCCTGCTTCTTCTTGTACCCATAAATGTGGTGCAGACCCCACTGCTCTGAGTAGAGAGGAGCCCAGCACTTTACATGCTGTTCTGTGCGCAAGCTCACCAGTTTCCAAAGCACTCCCAGTACATTAGAGCTCTCCTGTACCCTCTGTGATGAACATGAGGGCAGCCTCGGGCAGATGTTTTCAATTCTGTGTGGTAAACGCTGGTGTGTGGCTTGTCTGTTCAAATCCAATTTTGTTTAAAATTTTTTTTTTTCTTTTTTTTTAGTATTTATTTTTGAGACAGAGAGAGACAGAGCGCAAGTAGGGGAGAGGCAGAGAGAGAGCAAGATACAGAATCCAAAGCAGGCTCCAGGCTCTGAGCTGTCGGCACAGAGCCCGAAGCGGGGCTCAAACTCACGAACCGCGAGATCATGACCTGAGCCGAAGTCGGACACTTAACCGACTGAGCCACCCAGGCGCCCCCCCAAAATTTTTTTTTTCTTATGAGAACTTTTAAGATCTACTCTCTTAGCA